TGTTGCAGTAAATTTGAAGGTAGTGTATAATAAAATAAAATATATATCAAGCAAACGGCATCGTTTTTGGCCCCCAATTAAAAAAAAAAACAAAACAAAACAAAAATGTTACAGTAAAGATGGATCAAGACACTATTGCTTTCTATAGTGCCCTCACATCCCCCTTTTTTATATAGTAGGGATATCTGCTCTATTAAGAAAACAGAGCACTATGAAGAGCAAATCAATTATTAGAGTTTATTCAACTAAAGAAGAAAATTATATGATATGATTATCTATAAGAAAAGATATGATTTGTGCAGAATAAATATTCCATGTAAAATGGTCAATGAAGTTAGGAAAACAAAGAAAATGAGATTCTGATAAGCACTATCTTCATGTTCTTTGTTTTCTCATAAATTCAATATGCCTTATCACCAAGAGTTGTGGTTCTGGACTTTTGGTTTTATAATTAGATTTAATAATACACTTGGACTAGCATTCTATATAATTTGGGAAATATGTGTATTAGTGCTGCATTTAGAAGGCATTTACTCGTCAACTTTCTTGGAAATACGTATCAATATTGCTACAATGCAGCAATGTGAATTATTACATATGTGACTAGCAAAATGAAAAATGAGAGAATAGCATCTTCAATAGGGATGTGGATTGCTTGTACAAGAGCTAGCATGTAGAGAAAAAGAAGAAGATAAAAATTCTTAAAAAAAGAAAGAAAGAAAAAATCCAAATAAAGGATGTCTAATACATCATTCACCTTCGCCGTGCAGCGTAAATATTTTTAGGTGATGTATTACACTTTTTGGTGCGATTCGCAACCCACTGGAGATGCTTAAAATGTAGAGTAATGTTATTTGTAAGTAATTGTTATCCATCAACAGTCTATGTGGTAGTTGGTCAAGACAATATTCGTAAGTGGATATGATAATTCTAAATTAAAGCGCACAAATTTATAGAAGAATTGATGGTTACCTTATTGAGATAGTGATGAATAAGCACAGATTAAAAATAATATTACTCAATAAAATCACGATTCAAATAATTGCAAACACTAAATTCAAAAATATTATTCGGAGCCATTATTATCAGTCAATAATTTAAGGGATATTAAGTACATTTTCTATTCCCATATTTAAATATCATAATTGTAATACATCACAGTACCTGTACACAGTCCTATCCAATTAAATTTTTTGATGATGTAATGCTAAAGAAAATTTGAAGTATAATCCCATTAAGTATTACCATGTCAATTTAATTTCCCTTTCACGTGAATTTAAAGTTAATATATTTTTGTTCGAGGACAAATTTTAGATATGAGTATCATATTTTACAAAGTCGAGATCATTAGTTAGATCTAATGAATATGAATAAAATTGGTACATTTGTTGATTAAAATCTACCCAATTATAAGAAAAAATTTCTCTTAAAATGTGAATAAGTCTTCTCTATGTAAATTTGTTGTCTTCCAGACCCTATGGCCTTCCTCCAATCGTGTGGAAACTTTCATAATATTTATTTATTTTCAATTGCCAATGGGGCCTTCAATCAGATATTATTTTCTTCTATTTTTTTTTATTTTTTTGGAAAAAGAAATTTTGGTATTTTCACCAAAGTCAACTCAAACAGAGGAAGTTTTTAACATAGAAAGGCAATGACTTATCAGCTTTGAAGAACCACAAGATTTTGGGTAGGCAATTTGAAATGAATTAAGCTGGTCCGTCAAGTAAATTTTGTCCACCTCCTTGACAAGTACTCATATGGATGTGGGACGACATGGGACCCGAGGTGAATTTAAAATAAAAAAGGGCCCACCTACCCCAAATGTGAGAGTAGGTCAAAGTTGGCACAACAGCACGGTTGATTTGAAACTTGGACTGAGATTTCAAAAGTTCATTTAATGTTGAACATAAAATATAAATAATTAAACACAATATTTTATAGATGGACAAACATCTTATATTTAAGTTTTCCAAATGAAAAATCTACTTGTTCCTTGGATTCAAAGTAGAGCCTTTTTTTTTAGGGAAAAAAGAAAATGGATCTAAGAGCTAGCTTATAGAATCAAGCAACCAACTCAATTGTTTCAATGAACAAAATTGATGAGCACTCCACTCGATTTTAGACTGTTGGCCTCCCAAGATAAAGTTGATTGACAATAAACTAAGGGTGTGTTTGATTACATTTATTTTCCATGGAAAATATCAGTTTTCCATCTAAATTCTTATTTGAAGTGTTTGATTGCCATTTTTTTTCCATGGAAAATATTTTCCAACTTTTGAAAATATGCCTAATTTTCCTTGTTTTTAAGGAAAACATTTTCCTTGGGTAGAGGTGGTTTTTATTTTCCACAAAAGATGAAAAATATTTTCTTTTCTAGATGATATTTTCCATGTCAATTAAACACACTCTAAATGACTAATGAATGAATTTTGAGATCGTTATCTACATCATTTAGCTGCATTACTAACATAGTGTGTATCAACGTAGATTAGTTAAATTAGCAACTTGAAAAGTCAAATAATTGTGATAGGGGGTTGGTCATGAAATCAGAATGTGGAAATTCCATGGAACCAAATTTTTGAATTTATCATTTCAAAAATCAGATTTAAGCTATGTCTTAACAAAAATCATATCCTAATTCAACATTTTAATATTAATAATGACATTTTAAAATTAAATTAATCTATATACCCACCTTCTTCCATCCACCTAAACCCCAATTATTTTCCTCTCTATATCTCTCTATGCCCATGTTTGAATCTCATTAAATTATATTTTATTTTTTTCTATCATATTTTCAACTACACAATTTTTCATAAAGTAATATTACACGTAAATCAAAATTTTTCCTTCCTTTTCAACCACACATTTTAAAAAAAATACTATTCCAAATATTAAAATTTGAAAAAAAAGGCAGCCGTTTATCTTCTGTGTATTGTTAGTTCTCTTGTCAATGATGCAGTTGCCGTGGATCTCACGGCATTAAGATAGGAAAAGACTTTTTAAAATTATCCTGTGAACTCTATTTTCAAAAAAGAAAAAAAAAATTTTAAAA